ACATATGGCTAAATTAAACATTGCTTCTTTAACACCATTTTCTGCTGCTTTTTGATACAAATGAAAGGCTTTTTCTAAATTAATTTCTGTTCCTTTTCCATTTTTATAACATATGGCTAAATTAAATATAGCTTCTTTAATACCATTTTCCGCTGCTTTTTGATACAAATGAAAGGCTTTTTCTAAATTCTTTTCTATTCCCTCTCCATTATAATACCTATTGGCTAAATTAAACATTGCTTCTTTAACACAATTTTCTGCTGCTTTTTGATACCAATAAAAGGCTTTCCTAAATCCTTTTCCATCCCTTTTCCATTTTCATAACATATAGCTAAATTAAACATTGCTTCCTTAACACCATTTTCTGCTTCTTTTTGATACCAATAAAAGGCTTTTTTCAAATTTTTTATTGTTCCTTCTCCATTTCTATAACATATGGCTAAATTAAACATTGCATCTTCATTACCGTTTTCTGCTGCTTTTTGATACCAATGAAAAACTTTTTCTAAATTCCTTTTTGTACCTTTTCCATTTTCATAACATATGGCTAAATTAAACATTGCTTTAATATGATTTTTTTCTGCTGCTTTTTGAAACCAATGAAAGGCTTTTTCTAAATTCTTTTCTGTTCCTTCTCCATTATAATAGCTATTGGATAAATTAAACATTGCTACTTCATCACCATTTTCTGCTGATTTTTGAAACCAATGAAAGGCTTTTTCTAAATTCTTTTCTGTTCCTTCTCCATTATAATAGCATATGGCCAATTTATTCATTGCTTTTTCATAACCATTTTCTGCTGCTTTTTGATACCAGTGAAAAGCTTTTTCTAAATTCTTTTCTGTTCCTTCTCCATTGTAATACCTTTTGGCTAGATTAAACATTGCTTCAATATGATTTTTTTCTGCTGCATTTTGATATAAAAAAAATGCTTTTTCTAAATTCTTTTTTGCTCCTTCCACATCTCTATATTTATTAGCTAAATTAAACATTGCTACTTTATCACCATTTTCGGATAATTTTTCCAAAGAACTAATACATTCTTTACACCATAATTCTTCAATAAAAGGTTTATTACAATATAAACAATTTTCGTTGTTTATTGTATCAGTATCTTTGTTTGAGATATTTAAATTACTCAAATTAGTTTCCATTTAGTTATTTTAGAAATTTATTTTACCTAAAAAAATTTATTATTTTTTTTTTTGGATAAGTTTTTTTTTTATTCGGTACTGTCATTGAATGGGTTACTAAAAAGGAATATTTTAACCAAAAGTCGATGTTAGGATTTTTTTTTCGGGCCATATTTTTTCCGGTGCACTGATCTGCGTTGAGTTATGTACTAAAAAAAATTTAGTTTAATTTTTTTAAAAGTTTAAGATTATAAGTAACAATTTTATTAGCATTTTCTCAAATAAAATTTGGATAAATGAGTATTAATTTAATATTTTCACAAATAAAACTTTTAAAATATTTATAAGTGTACAGAAATCATTATTTTTAAATTAATTATTTCGCTTTGATTTCTGGTTATTATGTGATGATTCAATAGTAATTTTCTTCATTCTTGGAAATTTGACGTTACATAAAATAATAAATGATTATTATAAATTAAAATCATGTTATACACATATAGCATTAAAAAAAAAAAAATTTAAGGACATCATATACTTAAAATTTAATAATGGCTAAATATATAAAAACTTTTTAAAAATAAAGGTGTTGAAAATATATAAAAACTAATTAAAAATAAATGTAAAATATATAATAACTTTTTAAAAATAAAATGTTAAAAAATCAATAGGAAATTATTATAAACTTCAAGTTCAGAACAAACAAATTCTAATTTCTCATACCGGTCCATGCGCCATCACTGTAATTCTAATTTTGTATTATATATTATTTGATTTTCATTTATAAGTATGTTTCATTATTTCTTGTCTAACATTAATAAAGAAATGCGTTGCAATTTAAAAAAAGAAGAGTCGATTATTATTTTCGGGATATATTTTTTCCGATGCATTGATCTGCACTATTGATTAATCGATGAGATTTCTAATTTTAGTTAAAACATACTTTTCAGTAACTCATTATAGATTTGTTCCGGACATCACAATTCATGTTTGTTGATTTGAAGGGTGCAGATCTTACTAAAAAATTTTTATTTTTTTATCGGTAATAATTTTTATTTTATTTTAATGGTTTAGAAGCTTCTGACTTAAAAAAAAATTTTAAGATTGATCAAAAAAAAAAATCGATCACATGATTTTAAATCAAGTCAATAAAATACATAAAATATTTGCAATCGATGAATGGGGACTCAAAATTTTGGAACAATATATCAGACAATAGTTACGCTTTTTCTACTTAGTAAGAAACAAATATACTTTCACGTTGGAAAGAATAAAACATGAGCCAATTAATTTAAATATCAGCTTCGAATTAGCCTGTTTCGATAACGTAAAAATAAAGATCATTTAATAATAGTTAGTCACAATTCACAAATCACAATACAATACTTTCAATCATTATTGACTGAATTAAAATACACTGGTCATATGTAGAGTTAAATTAAATAATGATTTGACATCATCCTGATTTTCGTAATTATGATGCCTAAAACATAAGTTATTTACACTTCGATTTTATGGAAACTACTTAGACTAGTTATTTTAACTGAAAAGGCACAAAATATAATATTTAGTATAGTACTTTCGCATTTTCTAAAGAATCTAGAGATATTTTGATAAACAAGAGATCAATCTTTTTGCTGAAATTTATCAGACGCTTTCATTTAATTATAGAGACATTTAGATCTACAACTTTTAGACGAAATTCATATCTATGATGATTGATGAAAAATGAATTATTAAGATTATTTATTAATAATAATGCAGATTTTATTTCACTTTTTATTCTATTTGATTATAAATATCAAATAAACTTTATTTCATGAAATAATCAATGCTTTTAAATCTTAAATTCTTTTCTTGTCGTAATGATAATTGAGCAAATTGATTAAATTATTCAACTGGGTTATCGGAATAATTAGATTAATTGAAATTAAATAGTATCCGTATTGGTGAATATCATAAATATGGTATTAGTTAAAAAAAACTGCTACTATCCAAAACCTATATTTATTATCTTTTAATTGGACATTTTGTTTTACATTTTGTAAATACATGAACCTTTACAATAATTCGTCATTTCGTTAAAAATGTTTTATAATGATATTTTTAAAATTACTTATTTTCTTTATTTATTCGAATAAAAATTTTGTAATTTAATTATCATGTACCTTATCTTCCTTTTTATTGTTTATTAAAATTCATTCGCAAAGACAAAGATGATGTGAAAAATTTTTACATTCGATTGAAATTTGATAATTTTGGAAAAAACTAAACAAGTTTATTATGGTAATGATGAATTTGATAAGTTTTAGATTCGAGAGTTGAGTGAACTTTAAATAAGAAACACTTTGAAATTCTTTAAAATGATAATTTTAAAATTTTTGATTATAATATCATTATTATTGTAGAATTACACATTTATCAACTGTTCACTCTATTATCCGCACTTAACATATATGGTGCGGAAGAAAATAATCAAATTCATATCCCGCCCATGCATCATTATTGTGAAGCATGAACTATAATTGTTAATACGTTACATAAAATAGGCTGGTGGTCACGTTTGCGATAAATAAATAAGGGCGTCAGTTTTATCTTTTTTTTAAAAAAAAAAATGGAGTGGTTCATCAAAAATCCCTCTATCATCTCTTTTTGTCTTGGTGTGAAACGGGAGGTGGCGGACGGAGAAAAAAAGGAAATAAAATTTTTTTTGAAGAACCAATTATTTTGGAGAGCGGTTGCAACATCAGTTGATCAGCGGACAGTGGGCGTAACAATCAACAAACGGAATTTTATTTAGCCATCACGAAACGTCGAAACGTCAAGACGTGTGAAACGAGGGTTGCTCTCGTCGAATGAGCGTATCACCCACCTGCGGATGCTCTAGTCCATGGAGCCTGGATTTAGTCTTTGGGGAGGATTCCGTCCTTGGGTATAAATTAGTATAGATAATTAAATAATTGATGGCGTAGTCTGGTGCATAGAGTAAATTAGAGCGTGTTTATTTATAGTGGTTTAGATTAGGTTAGTTATAGAGTTATCGTTAATATAGTTAACCAATATCTCTATGTATATTAAAAAATTATGTACCTGTTCGTGTTTCATAATTAATAAAATGTGTTGCTAATTATAAAAAAAAAATGTTGGTATATTTGTGATGGATATTTTCATTAAAAGAACATGGTCGCCACTAATTAACTATTTCTTCAAGAATTTAAAAGATTATTTAATTTGTACAGATTTAATGGCTAAATCACCCGAAAATATATTTAAATCATTTGATTTTACTTCACTTCCTGAAAAATCTTTGGTTTCACTTATTAAAAGATATGATTTACAAATGAAAGAAATTAAAATTTGGGAACACGTATTAAAAATGGGGAATTATAAAAATCCTATACTTCTTCTGGATCCTACAACTTGGTCAGATGATGATTTTAAAATAATAGAATGCAACATTGTATTCTAATATTGAACCAAGTAATTATATTTTTCTTCCTAGATATAGAAATATGATGGAATAATTGATTCAAAATTGTTAATTTAAATATTGTTTCTCTAATTTCAAGAAATTAATGAATTATGATAAAAAAAAAAATCAAAACATATACTTTTAAATATCGTATCTCATTTATTAGGGATTCAATAGGATTCTGAGAGTTTTGTAAACATTTTAAAGTAAAAATTTTTACTTGGATATCTTACAAAGTTTCCAGAATTATAAATCATTCTTTTCCTAAATCGCCTTCCTATCCTTACCCAAAATGTTTTCCTAACTATACCTTAAGCTGGTACTGCAAGAAAATTTCATGCTTAATATAGATCACGTTCTGGACGGATGAACGCATGGTTGAAGTCTACGTAATAGTTAATAGTCGTAATACAGTATATATGCAGATCATTGATCACGTGCCCGGCCGGCCATTGAATGCCGCTTTTGGTAATAAAAAAAATTCATGATGTCAATTTTTTTTTTATTAAAACTAACCATAGAAAAATAATTGCTTTGTAAAAAATTATCCCAACTTAAGAAATAATTTTTTCACTACAATAAATAAAACTAAATAATGAAAAAATCATCTTTTTTCAAAAATAAATTTTGATTTAAACAGAGTATGTAAACTAAAAATCAGCTACAATCAAACCAAATAACCAAATGCAATGTATTGCATTCTCAAAAAGGAAAATTGTGTTCATATGATCATATTTCGGACATTTATTCTTATTAGACAAATAATGAACCTGTGAGACATAATTTCACTACTATCATATGATCATGCGTATATGATTGTCTCACGATTGTCTCATGATTTAGTCTCATGACATTGTCTCATGATTGTCTCATGATTGTCTCATAACGAATGGATGAACGATTCCTGATCTTCCCGATAAACATCCGTGAATATTAAATTCACTCACATCTCCTTCCCTTTTTACTTTTAAATTTTTTTTTTTCTTAAAAAAAAAAAATTTTTCTTTAAACTTAATATTTCTCATCCATTACCCTTTTTTATATTCACCATTTTATTTTATTTTTTATTTTGTAGACCCACGTCTACTTTTGGTTAAATTATTCTCTTTTAATAACTTTATTCATTAAATATTAAAAAAAATTTGTTTTTTTTCAAGTAAAATAAATAACCAAATGGAAGCCAAAATTAGTGAATTAAATATTTCAGATAAAGATACTGATACAGTAAACATCATAAATTGTTCGTATTGCAATAAAACTTTTACTGAAGAATTATATTGCAAAGAATGTATTAATTCTTTTGAAAAATTAGCAAAAAATGGTGATATTAAAGCAATGCTTAATTTAGCCATATGTTATAGAAATGGAGATAAAACAGAAAATAATTTAGAAAAAGCCTTTTATTGGTATCAAAAAGCAGCAGAAAATGATGATAAAGAAGCAATGTTTTATTTAGCCAATACATATAGAAATGGAGAAGGGACAGAAAGGAATTTAGAAAAAGCCTTTTATTGGTATCAAAAAGCAGCAGAAAATGGTGTAAAAGCAGCAATGTTTTATTTAGCCAGGTGCTACAATTATGGAGTTGGAACAGATAGGAATTTAGTAAAATCCTTTAATTGGTATCAAAAAGCAGAAGAAAATGGTGTTAAAGAGGCAATGTATTATTTAGCCTTATGTTATGGAAATGGAGAAGGGACACAAAAACATTTAATAAAAGCCTTTAATGGGTATCAAAAAGCAGCAGAAGATGGTGTTAAAGAAGCAATGTATTATTTAGCCACATGTTATAGAAAAGGAGAAGGGACACAAAAGAATTTAGAAAAAGCCTTTTATTGGTATCAAAAAGCAGCAGAAAATGGTGTTAAAGTGGCAATGTGTAGTTTAGCCATATGCTATGAAAATGGAGAAGGAACAGAAAAGAATTTAAAAAAGGCCTTTTATTGGTATCAAATAGCGGCAGAAAATGGATATGCAAATGCAATGTTTAATTTAGCCAATTCATATAGAAATGGAGATGGAACAGTAAAGAATTTAGAAAAAGCCTTATATTGGTATCAAAAATCAGCTGAAAATGGTAATGAATTAGCAATGCTTAATTTACTTACTTATTATCATGAATATGGAGTAAAAACAGAAGGGGATTTAGAAAAATCTTTTAATTTGATTCAAAATGCAGCAGAAAATGGTAATGAAGAAGCAATGTTTGATTTAGCCATATGTTATGAAAATGGAAAAGGAATAGACAAGAATTTAGTAAAAGCCTTTCATTGGTATCAAAAATTAGCAGAAAAAGGTAATAATGCGAATGCAATGTTTAATTTAGCCATATGTTATGAAAATGGAAAAGGAATAGAAAAGAATTTAAAAGAAGCCTTTCATTGGTATCAAAAATCAGCAGAAAAAGAAGATGGTAATGTGGATGCAATGTTTAATTTAGCCAACTATTATCATGAAAATGGATTAGGAATAGATAGGGATTTAGAAAAAGCCTTTGATTGGTGTCAAAAAGCAGCAAAAAGAGGTCATAAACAAGCAATGTTTAATTTAGCCACATGTTATGAAAATGGAGAAGGAACAAAAAAGGATTTAAAAGAAGCCTTTGATTGGTACCAAAAAGCAGTAAAAGATGATGATAAACAAGCAATGTTTAAATTAGCCGCATGTTATGAAAATGGAGAAGGAACAGAAAAGGATTTAGAAAAAGCCTTTTATTGGTGTCATAAAGTAATAGAAACTATTAATGAAGAAGCAATGTTTTATTTAGCCAATGAAAATGGAGAAGGAACAGAAAAGGATTTAAAAAAAGCCTTTTATTGGTGTCATAAAGCAACAGAAACTGTTAATGAAGAAGCAATGCATTATTTAGCCAATAAATATAGAAATGGTGAAGGAACAGAAAAGAATTTAGAAAAAGCCTTTTATTGGTATCAAAAAGCAGCAGAAAATGGTAATACAAAAGCAATGAATGATTTAGCCATATGTTATAGAAATGGAATAGGGATAGAAAAGGATTTAGAAAAAGGCTTTTATTGGTATCAAAAAGCAGCAGAAAATGGTTTAACTGATTCAATGCATAATTTAGCCATGTGTTATGAAGATGGAGAAGGAACAGAAAAGGATTCGGAAAATGCCTTTCATTGGTATCAAAAAGCAGCAGAAAATGATAATGAATTAGCAATGTATAATTTAGCCATACATTATGAATATGGAGTAGGAACAGAAATGAATCCAGAAAAAGCCTTTCAATGGTATCAAAAAGCAGCAGAAAATGGTCATGAAGTTGCAATGTTCAAATTAGCTATATATTATGAAAATGGAATAGCAATAGAAAAAAAATTAGAAAAAGCCTTTTATTGGCATCAAAAAGCAACTGAAAGTAACAAAGTAAATTTTAAAAATGAAGTTGAATTATGCAATGAATGTGAACAACATATTGATTACCAGTGGTGCCAACAATGTAATGCTAAACGATTTCAACAAGGTTTTTCAAAGTGGACTAGTAATAATAAATTTATTGATAAATTTATTCAAGAAGCACAACTTAATGCAAAAAGCAGTTATGAATTTTTGGAGTGGATACCTTATAATAAATTGTAAAGCATTAATTATTATGATAAAGGAGGATTTAGTGAAATTCATAAAGCTATCTGGTCAGATGGGCCTGTCTTTAGTTGGAATTTTGATAAACAGCAGTGGAATAGACAAACAAATCATGAGGTTATTCTTAAAATGCTTAATAATTCATCAGATGAATTAGATGAATTTCTGAATGAGGTATAGTATTTATATTTAATGGTAAATTTTATTTTCCTTTGCAATAATTTAATAATTTTTTTTATAATATTGATTATATAGTGGAAGTATCATTATAATTGTCAGAAAAAATCATTTTCAAAATTTGTTCAATTCTTTGGAATTACCCAAGATCCAAATACTTCAAAATATATGATAGTAATGAGTTATGCAAAAAAAGGAAGTTTTAGAAAATGTTTATATGATATAATTAAATTTAAGTGGCAAGACAAGTTACAATTATTGAAAAAAATTATATTAGGACTTGAAGTAATCCATGAATCAAAATTAACTCATGGTGATTTTCATGATGGTAATATTTTAATGTCAGAAAATTACAATGAGATATTTATTATTGATTTAGGATTATGTAAACCTATAAATAGTAATTTACAAGATTCTGACAATGTAGTTACAGAACATTGTGGAGTTGTACCTTATATGGCGCCTGAAATATTAAGAAATAAACCCTATACACCAGCAAGTGATATTTATAGTTTCTCAATGATAATGTGGGAATTTACATCAGGTATTCCTCCATTTAATGGTGAAGCATATGATGAACTTACCTCGAAAATTTGTCAAGGGGATCGTCCTAAAATTGATGAAAATACTCCACAATGTTATATAGATTTAATGAAAAAATGTTGGGATTCAGATCCTTCCAGTAGACCTAATATAAAAATGCTCAACAATATTATATCTAAATGGGTTGTATGTATTAATGATTATTATATATTGAATAGGGATGGAAATCGTATCTTTGAAGTACCTAATATTGATAAGAAATTAAAAAATGATATGCTTGAATTTGTAAAAGCAGACAAAGCTTTAACACAAGCAGAAGCAAATTTAACACAAGAAGAAGCAAATTTAACTCAGGAAGCAAATTTAACTCAGGAAGCAAATTTAACTCAGGAAGCAAATTTAACTCAAGAAAAAATACATTCACAAGCATATTCTACAAGTTTTACAAATTCTATAAAGCATGAAACTTATATTCAAGAAGAGTCTCAGGAGATTAATCATATTTAAGATTAAATAATTCTGTTATTTATTCTTTATTTATTGAATTATTTATCAGTTATTATATAAAAAATATTTATATTGTCAGTGTACTTTTACATACAGTTTTTATAATAAAGTAAAAAAGAATTGAACATTACCATTTTGCAATTTGTTAAGTAAATTAAGTTTAATATCCAAATCCATCATATTTCAAATTACTAATATCATTACTTTAGAATGATATTATAATCGTTATTTCTTGTAACTAAATTATAATATCTAAAGTATCATTATAAAATTTATTTATTGAAGCTATTCCCAAATGGGACAGGTCAACTCGGATGACCTGTTGGGTTGACCTGAATATTTCGTGTGGGTCAATAAACTTATTGATCCGATAACGGGTCAGGTAAATTTTAATCTGATCCATTTGACCCATTGACCCTTTCATTAAAAACGTCAAACCTGACATTTTTTCATTAAAAAAAAATAAAAAATAGTTTTTTTTTGATTAAAAAATGTCAAACTCGACGCCTTTCAATTAAAAAAATGAAAAATAAAATAAAATATTTTTTAATTAATGACATTTTTTCACTAAAAGAATAAAAAAATAAACATTTTTTAATGAAAAAACGTCAAACTCGATGTTGTTTTATTAGAAAAAAAATAAGAAAATCCTTTTTTTTAATTAAAAATATTAAACCTGACTTTTTTCGTTTAAAAAAATAAAACATTTTTTTCAATTAAAAACGTAAAGCCTGACATTTTTTCACAAAAAAAATAAGAAAACATTTTTTTTTTCAATTAAAAACGTCAAACCTGACATTTTCTGTTAAAAAAAAAATTTTTTTTTAATTAAAAAAATCGAACTTGCATTCCTGAACCTGATGAATTCAAAAGTAGAATCATAAAAACTTTGCTTTTTTGATTAGATGAAAAGAATAGTTCCTTGATAATTGTTAATCATAGTGAATTTATTTTATTGTGCAAAATAATTTTATTTGTCCCAAATTCTTCATAAGAAACGTACCATAAACCTAAAAATGGGATGCTTGCTCAACATATATTAATTGATGATCATTTCTAAAACTATTGCAAACTATTTTCTATAGGAACTTCTAAAATCCATTTACCACCTTTTATTCTTTACTAGCCATCCTATCCTGCCATTCTTAACGCATTTTATTCTTGAAATATTTATTAAGACAAAAATTTAATGGTTTAACGGGTGATACAATTGTTAAAACACAAGTAAATCTATTTTAATCATCCAATAGTACCAACCTAAATAGTTTTAGCATTTTGCACCTTCTTTTTTCAACAATTCTGTTTTTAAAGAAAGATCTATAGGTGTCCAATTTTTGTTTTTTGATGAATAGAAAGATTATAATGGGCCATAAATGATCAAGTTAACCTTGAGAGCAATAAAAGTATTTTTACGAATATATTTGTAATAATATACATCATCTTTTGTTGAATCATAAAATGGAATTCCATCTTGACGTGAAATGTTTTCTACCAGTAGTCCAGTACCAATATGACAACAAGCTGATTACAAGATCGTTTAAAAAATATTACCATCAAAGTAGAACAAGTAGTGGAACAAGAGAGAGTATATCGATGTTAAATCAATCCAGTTCACTTAAAAATACAATTTATAAAAATTATAATGGATTACACAACTTAAGCATTTTGAATATAACTCGATTACCTTTAACACTTTTATTTAATAAGCTGACCATTGTGTCCTCTTTAATAAATATAAAGTAAGTGACAAACTGATGGGTTCAAAGCATAGGAATTTCAATTCTTACTTTGATTTTCTTGTTTCACTAATATGTTTCCATTTTTGTAATCAAAGTTTATTCATCATCATCAGCCTAAGATACAATATACATCAAGTTTTTAACACTAAGTGCACGGTGTGACCATTTGGATGTTGATTTTTTTGATAAAAATTTAAACTATTATGTTAATAAAAAAAATTTATTTTATATAGCTAAAGTACGCAACAAAAGTATGCAGCAATTCATTTATAAGTTTATTGAAAATATTAAAAAAAAAAATTCCAGACTATAATGATAAAATAATTTAACCTTAGATTTCAACTAAATTTTTCCCTCTTTCACAATTAGAAAGTAATTTATGAACTTTTAAACTCAAAGTTTATTTAAAAATCAATATTATTAAGTTGATGATATTGCTGCCCGAAAATTAATGATTTTAAATTGAAATTTTCAAATGTCAAAAAGATCTACTTAGCCCCAAACTTTCGGTTAAAAGTAAATCCAAACTTAATCAAACTACTTGGTGATGATTTAGTTAATATTTTAAATAAATTCTTATATTGGAGACCTCTTTCAACCTTAATAACTAACTCAAAAAATGTTGACAATTAATTAATAACCTTTCAAATTCAATAAGAACATAATCTTTAACACTGGTCAAAGTGGCATGATGTGATGATGTTTATGGCTCAGAAATAGCTGATAAATTTTGTTATCCCGATTGCAATTAAGAAATCTCCACTAAATTTGATTTATAGATTGAAACGGTAATATTTATTGTAAATTTTATGATTTTAAATTTAATTTACAAATTTATAATGTGGAAATTCCGAATAAATTATTGTTAAATTTAATATCTACGTATACTGCACATATAATAAAATTTAATTAAATTATGATAATTAATTTACAATGCATAAATTTCAAGTAAATTTTGAAATTTCAATTAAATGCAAGTTGATGAAGCGTAAAAATTATCTATTATACGAATAGAATTATTATTTTGTGCTTAATAAAATATATACAGGAATTATAATCATTCTACTAACCTTATAAGCATTAGTAACTTTATTTGGCCGCTCTAGAACATGTATTTCGGAAAACTGGTTTTAAGTTTGATTTTCGTTTTTTAGTAGTCTTTGGAGCAGGTTTTGGTGGTTTCACTAATTCCTGATCACGCTGATCATTTGCGTTTCTATCAACTTGCTTGGATAATGATTGATCACATGTATTATTTAGTTCGATATCAAGTCTTGTAGAACTTGCTAATAATGCTTCTTCAGAAACTGTCATTATCTACAAAAATAAAACTGAGTTTAATAATTAAAAAATTAACTTAACTTGAATCTATTTTAACTGACCTGATTATTATTGTCCAACAAGGAATACTGCTCAGAATTTGTAACTTTATTATTGAAATTATTCAATGATCTTGTTAAATCACTTTCAAAGCCCTCTAAAAAAGCAATTATTATTAATAAATTTTAATTAAACAGTTAAATTATACAGTTAAATTATAAATTTACCTGTTACTGAATCAACATTCATTTGAGTAGACTTCGCTATATCTTGATTTATGGTTTCATATTCTGAATCTGAGTCTACTGCATTATAAATACCAGTATTTAGATTGTATGATTTCTTAATAGCCCAACGCGGAAAATTTGATGATATTGGGCAGGCTGGAATGAATGATACTAGTTGACGAAATTTATCTTTATTTGGAGATACTGGTATATGTTGATTAGGAGTTGTTATTCCACTAACAGAACCTTTGTGTAACTTTGCTTGACGTTGTTGTTCAACCTTAACTTTAGCATCAATAATATCACGCACTTTAATAGTCTAATGCAGTTAAAAAAGTTATAATATTTATAATTTTTAAAATATTTTAATATAAAGTATCATAATTACCTCATTACTACATCAAGGGATGAAAGGAACATAATTTCTTCTGAAATTTCATCATTAGCTTTATCTTTAATTGTGGCTTTGTCTTCACTAATTTCAAGTGATATTAATTCTCGTGCAAATAGTGCTTAATTTCTTTAATTGGATGTCCTAATATTTTCACATCAAATGTATCAATAACACTATTTCGAGCATTAAATTTCTATAAAATTAAAATAGAGATTATTAATATTGCAAAAATGAACATTTTATATGATTGTATATGATAGTTTATTTTATATTAACATACCTTTAATGTTCTATTGTTACGGCGGTTATTAATTTTTATAGCCTTTGATTTTTCTGGTGAAGATTTGAAGACATTACGTCTTGTTCCAAAATAAGTGTTACATATCTGTCTAATCATCTCTTCCGACAATATTTCATTTTTTTCTACAAAACAAATTCGATATGAGGGAATATTTTTGATTTTTTTAGAATATTTTAATTAGTGTAAGAAGTTTTTTTATTAAGTTGAAGTTTTCTAAAAGAATATGATGAGAATAGATTTTTTTATTGTTCATTCTTGCATTCCGGAAAAAAGTCATTTTTTTTAATAAAAAATTGGTTTTCATTTGATATTTAATAAAAAGATCTAAATTTTTTTATTTCAGTTTTTTTTTTCGATAATTTCGATAATAAAATAAAGGAGGTTGCAATTTAAACATGGGAAAAAAATCTATTTTGGAAATTTTTTTTTTAGAAGCACGATTTATTTATTATTTTTATTTATTATTTCAGCTTCATCATCTGAAATTTTGCTGAATATGTGTTAAAAATTTTTTTTTATTATTTCATGATTTATGAAAATATATAAAAGCCATCGATTCACAGTATATCCGAAAAATTCCGTATATTTGTAATATTTTTAATAAGGTTTAAAATTTTTTTCATTTAATTTGTAATTTAAAAAAATTCAATGAATCATAAGGAGGGTGGGCGCTAATACTCTTATATTTAGGTTCATTATTCTTATTCCGAAATCCAATAATCTAAATCTAAGATATTAAAAATTCGTGGGCAAAGTTTTCATGTTGATCACATTACAAATTGTTTTGATGATCGAGTTTATGAGTCACTTTATTTATAAAAAATATAAAAAAATTGGAATACAATATTTTAAAGAGTACTACAGATTACCAAATAGGAAAAAGTTTATTGTCTAATTTTTACTCTACGATAATCTGTTTATTTTTATTTTATAATACCTTCTTCGTTATTATAGAAAAATGGCTAGTTATTTATTAAACATGTAATTTCTCATATGGACCGAAAAAAATTATGACTTCTACTTTTGATTAAAATATTAATATTCCTTTTTAGTAACTCATTCATTTCATATTAAATAAAAAAAAACTTTCGTATAAAAAAAAAAAAAAATTGTTTAAAAGAAAATAAAAATAAAATTTATTTCTGGTAAAATAAATTCCTAAAATAATTAAATGGAAACTAAATTGAGTAATTTAAATACCCCAGACAAAGATACTAATACATTAATCAACAAAAATTGTTTATATTGCAATAGATCTACTAAAGAATTATTGTGTAAAGAATGTATTATTTCTTTTGGCAAATTAGCCGAAAATGGTGATGAAGTAGCAATGTTTATATTAGCCAATAGCTATTATTTTGGGAAGGAACAGAAAAGAATTTAGAAAAAGCCTTTCATTGGTATAAAAAAGCAGCAGAAAATGGTAATGAAAGTGCAATGTTTAATTTAGCCACATTTTATGAAAATGGAGAAGGAATAGAAAAGAATTTAGAAAAGGCCTTTTATTGGTATCAAGAAGCAGCAGAAAATGGTAATGAAAAGGCAATGTATGATTTAGCCATGTGTTATTGTAATGGTGAAGGAACAGAAAAGAATTTAGAAAAGGCCTTTTATTGGCGTCAAAAAGTAGTAGAAAGAAATAAAGTAAATCCTAACAATGATGTTGGATTATGTAATGAATATAAACAACCATATACTGATTACCAGTGGTGTCAACAATGTAATACTAAATGTTTTCAGCAAGATTTTTTAAAGTGGACTAGTAAAAATGAATCAAGGAGCACAACTAAATGCTAAAAATAGTTATGAAATTTTAGAGTGGATACCTTATAATAAATTGTCAAATATTAATTACCATGATAAAGGAGGATTTAGTGAAATTCATAAAGCTATCTGGTCAGATGGGCCTATTTATAGTTGGAATATTGACAAAGAACAATGGGATAGACAAACAGATTATGAGGTCATTCTTAAAACACTTAATAATTCATCAAGTTTAAATAGCAAATTTCTGGATGAGGTAAAGTACTTATATTCAATTGTACATTTTTTTTCTTTTGCAAAAATTTAATAATTATTTATCATTTATATAGTGGAAATATCATTATAATTGTCTGAAAAAGTCATTTTCAAAATTTATTCAATTTTTTGGATTTACCCAAGATCCATATAATTTAAATTATATAATAATAATGAGTTATGCAAAAAAAGGAAATGTGAGAAAATGTTTGCCTAATATAGTTAAATTTAAGTGGCAAGAAAGGCTACAATTATTGGAAAAAATTATATTAGGGCTTAAAGTAATCCATGAATCAAATTTAACTCATGGTGATTTTCATGATGGTAATATTTTAATGTCAGATAATTACAATGAGTTATTAATAATTGATTTAGGATTATGTAAACCTATGAGTGATTTACAAGATTCTGATAATAAAGTTAATGAAATTTATGGAGCTTTATCTTATATGGCGCCTGAAATATTAAGAAGAAATCCCTATACTCAAGCAAGTGATATTTATAGTTTTTCAATGTTAATGTGGGAATTTACATCAGGTATTCCTCCACTTAATAATAAAGCACATGATCTTGATCTTATCTTGGATATTTGTAATCAAGAAAAACGTCCTGAAATTATAAAAAATATTCCAAAATGTTATATAGATTTAATGAAAAAATGTTGGGATGTAAATCCTTCAAATAGACCAACCGTAGTGATGCTTGAAAATATTCTATCTGGATGGGTTAAATGTACTAATGCATATTATAAGTTTAACAGGGATGGTGATTATAAATTTGAAGTACCTGATATTGATAATCAATTAAAAAATGATATGTTTGAATTTGTAGAAGCAAACAAAGCATTAGGACGAGGATAAATAAGCACTTCTGATATATACATCATCCACAAGCATATTATACAAGTCGCAAACTTACTGAAATTGTAGTTAAAGAAGATTCTGAGTGTTTGGAATGTATAGTTGAAAATTGATGATAATTATATTATTTATTCTTTATTTGTTTGATTATTTATCGGTTATTATATAGAAGCTGTACTTACTAGTTAATTCTATTACATTTTTGCAACAGAGTAAAAAGAATTAAATATTATTAAATCTAAGTATACAGTAAATTTATTGAAACAATGTTTATTTATATTTTATTTTAATTTGCATTTTGTTTAGAAAATTTAAGTTTAATATACAAATCCATACTTCAAAATTTACTAGTATTATTATTAGGGATGCCAAAAGTTCGGTTATAACCGATCATAACCGGTTTTTACCGGTTCGGTTATCGGTTCGGTTTCAGTCCAAGACCGACCGGTTAACCGTCAGTTTTATATATAAAAAAAACCGATCAAAAAACCGATCGGTTAATTGTAAATTTTAATATATTCCGGAAAAAAAAAATGATTTTGTTTATTGAGAATACCATTAAAAACTATTGTTTTAGTGTTTTTATGTATAATATTCTCATTTTTGAAATTATCGAATTTACGCGTTGATCACGTGATTTTTCGTTTCTCTGAAAAAATCACAACATCGGCGTTATTGTTGTAAATAATTACATAAATTCAAAGAATATTATTCAAAAAGTTATAATTGATACTTTATGGCATTATTTTATTCGATTTTGCGGTATTTTTGTAATCGGTTTTGTAGTTCAGTTTTATCGGTCGGTTTTGCGGTCGGTTCGGTTTTGGTTGAAAACTGCAGTTTTAAAACCGAAACCGAACCGAACCGACCGTTGGCATCCCTAATTATTATCTTTGAGAAAATTATCCTAACTTAATATTATTAGTACTTATTGAAGTTGTATCATTAATGCTAGTCATTCTAAAACAACTTAGATTTCTATGATTCCTTTTCTAATTGAGATTGATATTGTAGACAAAGAAGTTGATAGTGAATTAATGACGTATAGATAAAGCTTTTATGTGATTTCTAAATTCCTAGTTTTCTAAAAATAAATCAAATAATATAATTATTGGCTAAATTATAATATCATGCATTTTTATAAAATTGTTATATATTTAATATTGTATAATATGTATAATATTTTTAAAATAAGGTAAAAATTACTAGAATTTTTAAGTATTTTGGATATGTTCCATGCATAATAGTGATCTTACGTAAGAAATATAAAATTTAACACCTGGTATCTTAACAATAAATTTTGTTGGCGAGTATACAAGTATACTTAGTTGAATATCAAAGAAAAAGAGAAAAAGCGTACATTTTAAAAACAAATATACATCATGCTATTTGCTTTCAACAATATTATATGAACTAATTAAAAAAGAAAAGCTTCTTTGTTAAACTTAATAAAATAATTAATAAGAAATTGACAAAGAACCCAACTGAATTTTTTATTCAATGAACTTAACATAAACTGCAAAATTTGAATTACAAATATATGGATANAAATAATTAATAAGAAATTGACAAAGAACCCAACTGAATTTTTTATTCAATGAACTTAACATAAACTGCAAAATTTGAATTACAAATATATGGATAGATTTTGGTTCATAAGAAATTTTGTTTAATATCTAACTAACCTTTATAAGATTATGTAAATAAAACTAGACACTTTAGAGATTTAGATGTATGATTCTTATACCTTGACATTCGGAGTCCTGTCTTTGAGGTCACTGCTTGCATACCTTAAGGGGATGGACCTGTCTTGGTAGTCACTCTACGACACCACTAAGGGTATGGTATAAAAAAAATGTTATACTTAGAAAAGAAGTGTATAAAGTATAAACGTACTAATTATGCAAGAGAATTAGGAACTCTTTCCATCGATCAAATTCTCAGGACTAAAAAATAGACGGAGGAGTGCAAAAGTTCTATTATAAAGTTATTTTTCTGCATTTCTGACATCATCAACTGTTTATTCCTCCTTTAGGAACCTTTTGATATGGGTTTTTTCCATAAGTTATAAAGAATTTAGAGAATTTTTACCAAAAAATTGTTTCGGACCGGGTTTGAAAGAAAAATATACCTAAAAAGCTAGCGTGAGCATAGGTTTTTCTATAAACAAGTTTGGAAAGTGCAATACAGAGAAAGAACTGCAAAAATGACTTTTCTTTTGGTTTGTTTTGTTATTCTTTACCTAGTCTCTTGTGGTCTTAAGTTCTCTTGGGATTTCAAATCGCTTCGTCTTTTTTGGTAGCACAGAATTATGTTATTGCACATTACCGGAATCAAAAATTGGCAATTTGCGATCTTCAAAGGAACGAATAAAATTTGTGGATAAAGAGGTGACGTGGATGCCGACTAGGATCATAATGGTTCGTTAGTTGAGTCTGAGATAAATAAATGTAGACGAGTTTTTCTTGTTTGAAGAAATACCATAAAGATAAATACTTGACTGTGATCCATAATGGAATTGAGTTGTTCTTTGGATTGGTGACTAGTAGATGATCCATGTCTTTGTACGCGAAGATTTCTGGATTTTGGATCTGGGAAAGAAGTTTAGATACGTGGATGGATGTTGATTCACGATAATGTTTTCAGAGAAGATTTAAAGACTGGGATTCTCATCCTCAATTTTTTGGTGTATGAAAATAACACTATGAAAGTATTCATATATAGTACGAAGTCGCAGTGATTCAGTAGTAAAAATTTGTATTGAAATTGTTATCTATAATAAAATTGCTCATTATTTAGAATTACCTCAAAACCTTAACGTGATACACAAATATTTAACGTGAATAACTGTAAAGTCAATGACTGCACAAATTTAGTTTTATAACTGCGACATATTTAATACGTCCTCTAACTCCCCCTGAATATGACCTTAAAATAGAATTATCTTTGTTAACCAACATCTTTGTGCTTCATATTTTTATAATTTAGAGATTTTAGAGTTCGAGTTTACAAAGTATTGAATTATAACTTTTTATTACATAATGGTATGACCAGTCTTTCTTCGTCGGGGTTTTCTGTGATTTCAGCAGTACGTGGCTTAAAAATGCTTGTTTGTTAATATTGTTTGATGTCGGAGTGATTTCAGTGATTTCAATCCGTGACAGATTATCTACGGGCTAGATCACATCTCTAGTTATTATGAGATCAGATATTGTAATATCGTTGACAGATCTAGATTATAACTGTATTAAATAAATTTGTTATACTGTTGCCTCTGCAAATTTTTCCATATAACTTATGATTAATAAGTAATAGACTTTCAGTAAGCTTTTTTATTGTCCGTAACGTAAGCGTAGGACACTTCCAAACTGGGGAATATTAAATTCTAGGATCTTGTGTAAATATCGAAATGTCATTTTTTGTTATGTATATCACGCGTGTTTACCGAAAAAATAAGTTCAACTCGTGTACTTGAAGGTTAAATAAATTAATGTATACATACGATAAAAACTTTATACTAAAACCATTGCCAAATTATATATCAAAAATAAATTTATTTTATTTTAATCAATAACAATAATCAAAGCTAGATGTAATTATTTAATAATATAGGGTATTAACTATATTATGAGCCACAATCATAACATTATTAGTCATCATTAAGCTAATTCATATCACTAGTTTTGGTGGTTTTAGATTAAATATCTTTATAAATTAATTGATGCAATAAATGTGACTCATAGATAATCTTGATTTTTTTTTATGAATCATAATAAGTTATCTATTTTATTATTAGTCACTATGTATTCAAGGGGTTTTTACATATATATATATACCCTTAAACTTCCTCATAAAAAATCAAATTTCTAATATCAAACCAAATTTTTCTAAAACTACTATTTTTTCAAATATCAAACATATCAAACCAAATTTTTCTAAATTTCAATTCAAATTTCAAATTTCAAATTTTTTAAACTGTAATTCAAAATGTCATATCACTTGTGCCCAAATATTATTGATACTATTTTAAAGGAAATTCCTATCAACAAATGTTACAATCCTCCTCAACCTATTGAAACATTCCAATATTTACCATTGCTTACTGGATTCTTCTACATTCTTTTTATCATTCTCCTCATAAATACAAATATTCTCACCAACATAATTGTCCTAATTCTTCGTTTGTTAAAATTCATGTGTGCTACAATTATTTTCCTCCCTTCTCTCCCCTCATATCTCTTTAATATATTTCATTCTTTTAAACATTTATTATTATCTATATTATTACCATTTCTTCTTTATCTATTATCTACATTATCATCAATTCTCCTTCATTTTCTTTACCTTCTTAATTGGATGATTTATATTATCCTTTTTTCTTATTCTTTACTTTATAAAATTATCCATTTAGTAAATACTATTCTACTTTCAATCCCCCAGTAGTTTAGTCATCTTTTTCTTTCTTATTTTTTCTCAATTCATATATTTTTCAAA